GACCCCAGCCGGGAGCAGCCCCTTTACCCCAGCCCGGGTGGGGTGGGGTGGGGTGTGGGGGGTGGGTGGGGCCGGCTCAGACCCCACCTCCTGTGACTCCAGGCCTGGGTTGCTTCCCTCCACTACTCACCCACCACCCCCATTCCCCGGCCCCTTGTTCTATTGGTGCCATGAGGCAGCTGTGGAGTGGGTGTGAGCCTCAGGCCCCAAGTGCCCTGATGGGGGCCTGGGGAGGGGAAGGGTCAACCTCAGCCTCAAGACATGAAGGTGGGATGGGGGCTGGGCACTGCTCAGGAGGCCTGTGTCTTTGTCCTGATGCTGGGTATGGGGGCGGGGGTTCCCCTCTGGGGCCTCAGTCTTGCTGTCGGTGCCATGGGTCTGAAGAGCGCTGGGCAGGGGTGGGAGGGTGTGGGCTGCGGGGGCTCTGGAGGGAGGACTGCTTACTGCACAATAGCAGGTTGATGTCCCCGGCATTCAGCATCTGGAACACGGCCTGGGGATGGCAGCAGATGGTGTGGCCTGTGCGACAGACGGGCAGCTGGCGGCTCGGGCTCCCTGTCTCCTGGGGGGCTCCAGCCCATCCCTCCACCCCTGCCCCTCTTCAGCCCCAAGCCCCTCCTCATCCACCCCCTTTCCTCTCTTGTGGGCGGTGGGTCAGGGAGGGTCAAGGGTGTTTGGGTGGGGCAGGCCTGGGGGTCTCCAAGCCCGGCCCTGCCCCCCGCACCTATGAAGAGCACCGCCCAGGTCTTGATGTGGCAGGAGTGGCTGTGCAGGTAGCTGAGGGCCTGTGACAAGTGGATGCTGAATTCCTCCTGGCTGCGGGTCATCTGGCCGGAGGAGAGCACACCTGGCTGGGGCGGGTTGGGGGGCCCTGGGGATACCAGGGTCTTCCGGCCCCAGCTTGCCTTGCCCAGCCCCTGGAGCTGCCATAGCAGCTGTGTGTGAGACGGGAGTGAATGGGGAGCCGCAAGCCTGATCCCCACTCCCTGGCCCTGTTCCTCCCCACCGATCCCAGGCCCCTCACCAGGCAGGTCCAGAGGAAGTGGCGGGCGCTGAGGCCCCTCTCCCAGGCCAGCGTGCAGAAGAGGGTGTGCCGCAGCCGCCAGCGGAGAAGCACAGCACAGCGGTAGAAGGTGAACTTAGCCCGCTGCAGGGACAGGCATGGAGGGTCACCCTCCGTGTCTGAGCCCTTTCCCCTAGAGACCACAGGCCTCCGTGGGCACTGGAGGCAGCCTGCTGTGGGGGTGTTCCCTGGCTCTGTCCTGCTTGTGCCCCTTGGCAAGCCTCCGGGACCCTGGCAACAGCACCTGGCCCCCCGGAGCCCAGGCTGGCCTGCCCGCCGCCCTGCCCCTGCCTCTGCCCCTTCCACTGTTGCCGCGTATCTTTTTCCCCATGGCAGGGAGACCTGCAAGGCCAAGTTGTGACTTCATGGGCTGTGCACACGGCGTGTGCTGAAACAGCAGGCAGGGTGCAGTCCATTTTCACACAACCTCTGTGAACTGCTGCACCCCCCGCCCCGTGACAGGCACTGGGGGCACAGCAGTGAGCAGAAAAGACCAGGTCGTGCCGCATTGACGGCAAGCCTCGCTTGCATGCGTGGGTGCATCGGGGAGCGGGCAGGCCAACTGTGGCCAGAGAAACCAGTGCAGGTGGCCAGACCCTCTGCCCACCACTTGCTGCCCCGTGGGAGCTCCCCCAACTCTTAGGCAGCCCTGCTGCCATCCATCTGCCCTGTCCCCTGGCCGCCTGTGGGCCCCAGCCCTGGCCAAGGTGAAGGCCTACCACCTGCCTTTCCTGGGGTGGGCACTGACCGTGGTGACAGCTGGGCATTGATCCTTCAGGTGGAGGAGCAGGGGCACCATGCTCTGGTGCACCTGGGTCCGCAGGCCACTCAGCTCCCTGTCTGCCATGGCCGCCACCAGGTCCCCGAACAGTGCCATGGCTGCTGCCCGAATCCTGTCCCGCTCCTGCAAGGAGGAGGCTCAGAGGCACGGCCAGACCTGTCTAGGGGCCCCAGCTTTTGTCCAAGTTGGGATCCCACACCTCATTGTAGGGGTGTAACTCAGTTCCTTCGGCAGGATTCCTTCACCCAGGCTCTTGGCTCCCGGGGAAGGGCTGGGGCTCCCCGCTCACACAGGGCTCTCTGGCGTCCCTGAGGACGTAAGAATCACATCTCCCTTCTACTCACAACTCCATCCTGGCAGCCCAGGCCTCATGAATGCATTTGAGGGGCGCCTGTCCCCCTGATTTCCCAGTGAAGGAAAAACAGCCACACTAACCGTGCTGACATGTCAGAAAGTTACATCTGGGTAAGCCTGTTGTGGGGCCGGAGACCAGTGCACTTGGAGACTGAATGTAAGAACTAGTTCAGCCCTGTGGTGAAGGGGCAAGCGCCAGGGACCCACCGAGCCCACCTGCACAGTGCCTACCTCAACTGAGGGCCACAAGCGGGCAGCTCCCCTGGGCCTGGGCCTCCCTGCCTGCAGCTTGGGGTCCCCCCTTTGGCAGAGGAAGGGAGCTGGGTTGGGAGGAGGGTCCTGAAGGGCGTGAGCAGGAGGTAGCCCCGCCCTGCCCCAGTGCTCACATCATTAAAGAAGGAGCGTGCACTGATGGCAACACTGAGGCTCTGGCTCCCTGTGCTCTGCGCGCCCAGTCGGTGCAGCATGTCTGACACGGTGTCCATGATGCACACAATCACCTGCTCGCTGCTCTGGAAGAAGCCGTTGAGGAAGGGCCGCAGCTGTCCCCGGAGCAGGCTTCCCTGGGGGTGGTGGCAGCTGGTGGGCAGAGAGCACCAGGACCCGCTGGCCCCATGCCCCACCTCACCCTCCCAGTTGCTCCCCTCACCCCATCTGCACTGTGGGCCGGGGGGTGGTGATTCAGAGCTGTGGGTTCCGGCCTGGCCCTGCCCGCCACGGGGAGCTGTGCCCCTACCTGGGCTTTGTCCACCAGGAGCTGTGTGGCCTGGACAGGGTGGCCTCTTTTCTGAGACAGGGTCTCACTCTGTCACCCAGGCTGGAGTACAGTGGTGTGGTCATAGCTTACTGCAGCCTTGACCTCCCAGGCTCAAGCAATCCTACATAGCGTCCTGAGTATCTGGGACTACAGGTGCATGCCACCTGACTTTTTGTTTTTGCTTTTGTTTTTGGTAGAGATGGGGTCTCACTATGTTGCCTAGGCTGGTCTCAAACTCCTGGGGTTGAGCAATCCACCAGCCTTGGCCTCCTAAAGTGTTGGGATTACAGGTGTGAGCCAACACATTCGACTTGTCTTTTTTTTTTTTTTAAATTAATTTTCAGCCAGTTCTGTCTGCTCCACTTGACTGCGTGTTTGCAGTGAGTTCCTGAG